TGCTCCCCTATAGAAACAAAAAGAACATTTCAAATGTTCAGTGCAGTGTAGGTGGTGTGGCCAAGGCAGAGAAAAGGCCAAACTCACAGCCCCATTCCCTCCGTCCTGGATCTTTTTCCCTTTTTTTCCTCTGATTCCCTCTCTGTCCCTGCCCTCCCCAGGCACCCTGTGCCGGACCAAGCCCACGGACCTGGTGTTCATCATCGACAGCTCGCGCAGCGTGCGGCCGCACGAGTTCGAGAAGATCAAGGTGTTCGTGTCGCGGGTGATCGAGGGGCTGGACGTGGGCGCCAACGCCACCCGCGTGGGCATCATCAACTACGGCAGCGCCGTGCGCAGCGAGGTCCCGCTGCACGGCCCCCAGAGCAAGGCAGCGCTGCTGCAGGCTGTGCGCCGCATGCAGCCGCTCTCCACCGGCACCATGACCGGCCTGGCCATCCAGTTCGCCGTCAGCCGCGTCTTCAGCGCCGCCGAGGGCGCCAGGGCYGGCGCTCCCGACTTCAGGAAGGTAAGCGGGAAGGAGAGGGAATGGTTCCYGCGGCTCCGTGCTTGGGACTCGTCRTGGAGYGGTKGGAAAAAGCAGAAAGGTGATTTGCTCTGAGTTTGATTGGGCAGGTGTGAATTGTCACAGGTGGAAAACCTCTGTGAAGTTCACACCTCTCAATTCTTGAAAACCTCTGGGATGTACAAACATCTCAATTCTTCTAGAAAAGCTCTGGGAGGTTCAAACCCCCCAGCTCTTGAAAACCCCTGAAAGGTTCAAATCTCCTCTGGAAAACCTGTGGGAGATTCAAACCTTTCAAATCTTGCAAAGCTCTGGGAGGTTCAAACCTTTCAATTCTTGAGAACCTCTGGGAAGTTCAAACCTCACAATTCCTTAAAAGCTCAGGAAGGTTCAAACCTCTCAAACCTTGAAAAGCTCTGGAAGGTTCAAACCTCTCTTCTGGAAAAGCTCTGTGAAGGTTCAAACCTTTCTCAGTTCTTGAGAACCTCTGGGAAGTTCAAACTCCTCAATTCTTCTACAAACAAAGCTCAAGAAAATACAAAACTCGTTATAGCACTTCCAGCCTTAGTCTCAGTTTTTGTTCTAAATGCAGTCTGACACTTCACACACAGTAAATTCACCATCCTGGGGAYTGGAGAGACATTTCCACAGAGCTGTCCATGGAAATGCTGCATCCTCCTCAGGAATCTCTCCAACACCGTTCAATTCCCTCTGTCCTCGTGCGCTCCTTTCCTGCTGCCAGACAACTCCCCCAAACTTGTTCCTGTCACCTCTGGTTGTCTGGCACAAACAATCCTGAATTTCCAGCATCTCCCTGAAAACTCCTGGAGAGCAGTGGGCTTGGAATGACTTCTCTTAGGCATT